AGTCCCTCCTACATCATTACAAGATAAACTTCGGAACATGACGAAAAAACGTTTTTCCCTCAATGAATATTACTGCGAGTTCAATCTTAAATGGCTAGTATACTTCGGTACGACATTATCTCCCCCACAACGACATAATACTCTAATAATCTCCAATAAATGGATAAACTGGAATAAGTGGTTTCACCTACAGTCAGTCGTCGCTAGCTATCCCCTATACGAAGTGAGATAGAGAAATTTTCATATAGATCTTTTTTATAGAGTGACTTAAGGAATAGAATAATGATCTTATCACAAATTTCGTTATTTCTCTTCATTCCGGAGATATTCAGCGATAACTGGGCACACGGCCGACGCAATTATTCCAGTTTATCCATTTATTGTATAATTTATTGTTAAATGTCGTTGTAAAAATAGAATATTAATTAATCTTCGAAGGAATATGGAATCAACATGATGGCAACAGCAGGGAGTGGTTATATTACAGCTTCTACTCCATTGTCAGTATATTTGTTATATTTATTGTGAGAACGATAGGATTTGTCCATCGAGTTTGGCTGACGAAGGAAGACTTTATGATGTGCACCATGTCTTCATCTTTTGCTGCTGGATATCTCTGCACAGTCCTGAAGAATATCAATCTCATCATGAGACAATCAGACATACTCTTCGTCCTGAAGAAATTCAATTGGGAAAGAAGTGTTTCGTGCACCCGAGATATCGGTAAATAACTTTTTTTTATTATTTCCAGTATTATAGCTGGTCTATTACTCAATATTCCAGCAATTCATCGAAACAAAAGTGTCACCAGAACAATCAACACATCAAAGATATTTACGTTGACATGGGCGATAGTCATTACTCTATACAACATATTTTTTTTCTATTCTTCTCTAGTGGAGAGCGGATGGTCCGTCGATTCTTTACCGATCAGGTGATTTTATTCGTTTGTTCGTCTTATTTTATTTTATTATCATTTCTTCATTTTAAAATGCCATTTTGGGTCACCCCCGATTTTCAGTAAAAACCACGAGATCTGGAGGAAACAGCGAAATTTTTGTTTCACCTTTTCTATAGAATTAATTGCGTTCTACAAAAAAATTATTATAAAATTACTCTATTTCTTCTAGTTTCGGGGATGTTCCTGAAAAAATGGGTTGAGATAAATCGACTGGTTAAAATATGAAGAACAATTTTTTTTCTAGCAACACACCCCTCAGGACAATCGCAAAGGCCCACAACTTCTGGATCGTCTGTGCTCTCGATTTTATTACGTGGTCGATTTTTACTTACACTGTTCTAGCGCACGACAGTTTCTTTGCGAGTCTGATGCTCCAGACCTCAACACAATTGGATATTCTCAACCACAAATTAAAAAACTGCACAAATTTCGAGATGAGCACTCAAAACGAGACTCCAGAAGTTGATGTAATTCATTTCGACTGCATCGAGATCAATCCAAAGATCAAGAATTTGAATCCTAATGAAGAATTGATCAAGTGCATTCAACATTATCAGCGAATATTCCAGTAAGTCCTTCGACTCTAATTCCAATTGAATTTAAAATTGATTTCATTCATCAATAGTAATAAATGACTCATTCAATTCATTTGAATCCATTGAATCAATTCGTTGAACTGTGCAATTTCTTCACCTCAGGATCGTGAAAACCCTGCAAAGCATTTTCGGGTGTATTCTCTTACCCCAGCTCATTTCAAGTTTAGCAATGATGTCTTTAATTGGATTTCACGTGTTTGTGGTAAGTAATTCCTATCCATCAAGACGAATTATCCCAGAAGCTGAAGAGCACAAATTATTTTCCATTATCAAGATAAAAACGATAGACCTGAACAGGCCCTCAAAGGCAATCTTCTTCAGCGTATTTTTTGGAAGTATCTTCTACCAATTATTCGCTTTCTGCTGGAGTGGAGGGCACATAATAGAGGAGAGTGATAAGACTAGTGTAGCTCTCTACTCATCTTGCTGGTACCAAGGGAATCGTTCGTTTCGGGTGAATGTCATGGTGTTCGCATCACTCGTGCAGAGGCCCATGGTGATGAGTGCTGTTGGTCTCTTTGATCTTTCTATTGTCATGTACAAAAATGTAAGTCACTCCTTCGGAGCTCAACAGTCCATGACAGTCCTGGATCACTTCCAATATTTATTTCCAGATAATGATGAAGTCATACTCAGCAATCACAATACTTAAAAACGCTTATAACTAAATCAGGGGATTCCCTTGACGAATGTGTCTTAAGCAATCACCAGGAAACCGAGTTGCTGAACCTGATATTCCGTCTCAGAATGTGACTGCATGATTATCGGGATAATCTTGCCACAATATCACCAGGAATATACCTTGTATATTACTTCACAGAATAATCATATCTTTGCTTGTCAATTTTTTTTCTTTTTTTGGTTAATATTCATGTGAGTGCCATTAAAGGAATTCACGCTGAATGGAGGGGAATTCGACACGAGGATTTCAACAACGAGAAAAACTCAGTCGATTCAAGTACTTGAATCGACTTAGAAGAAATATTCACCACAACCTAGGTTCGAATGATAAAAATTCATTAAGGACCCGTAGATTAAACAAATACTCTATTAAATTTTCAATCCCAGGTAATTGAATATACCACTGAAAATGAAATGATTCTCCTAAAAAAACAGACAGTACTCTGAATCAGAGTCCACGAATTCCGTAATTATTCCATTTCCACTCAACTGAAAATGAGGATTGCTATCCTGAGGGGCTCCAGCTCTTGAGAAAATTGTTATTATACATATAGTACAGTTAAAATTTGACATGTGAATATTACTCCGAGTTCAATTTTAAATGGCTAGTATATTTCGGTACGAAATTATCTCCC